GGCGGTAGTCCCCCCGTCCCCCAACAGGCTTAGTTTAAAGCCCGGTGGAGCAGGTCAGCCAGTCTGGCTGAGAAGAGCCTCCTCCCTAAGGGAGAGAGGTGGAGGCCATCTCTTCCCAAATGCTGGGATTTGGGAATTTTAATAATGCTGTTTCCTGATTTTCACTTTCCCAATATCTTTAATTCAGATTATTTTCCTATTCCAGATATATTAGTTTGTACTTTCCCAGCACACAATATATTCCTATTTTCTCCCTATGATTTGAACCTCCATAAAATCTCCAAAGAATATGAAATAACATAAAATGTTATTGTGTACATGACTAAAGGGCATGTGCTAGAGCAGGGGCAAAACAATTATGAAACTTTGGTATCTTTTTAAACAAAATTAAGGAATGTAATTTCAATAACATCTTTTTAAGTGATTAATTTACATTTCTTTGTTTATTATAAAGGATTATTCCACTGAAAGATTGAAGAAAACCAATGAGATATTGAAAGGCATTAAATTGTTAAAGCTGTATGCCTGGGAGCACATATTTTGCACTAGCGTGGAGGAAACAAGAATGAAGGAGTTCACAAGTCTCAAAACCTTTGCACTTTATACATCTCTTTCCAGTAAGTAATTGTATTCTATGGGAATTTTAACAGAGCTTTGAAAGGTTCCTGTTCTCAATAGAAGAGTTTTAACTTCAGTGCTAATTACAGATATTCACGGGGAATGGGGGTTTAGATTGGGTTAAGAATGGCCACCTGATCTAACTTAGCTTGCCCCGATGCAGACCTTACACTCAGACCCAGTTTTAGGGATTAGAAATCAAATTTAAACCTGTAACAGTACAGAAGTTTCACCCGCACAGACTGGTCAAAAAGGACATCTTTAAACATGCTCCGGGGGGGGGGGGGGCGGGGCTTTAATTAGAGCAGCTCCGAGAGTCACTTGAATTAAAGCGCCCAGAGCATCACGTGTATCAGTGCCCACAAACTGAAAAATGGTGGCGGGGATGCTTTAACTAAAGTTAATTGAACAAGCTTTAGTTAAAGTGCCCCTGGCACTATTTTTCAGTGCAGGGGCACTGATACACATGATGGTGTAGCCTGCTGGAGCATGGTAATGAATTGAGTGTGTTGTGATGCACTGTAATTACAGCATGTCAGAGCAGCCTCAGTGTATGTGTATAGGTGCCCATTAAATAAATAAATAGCACAGAAGGAGTTTAAAATCATTAAATATATTTTATTATTGTATAATTTATAAAAAAGTTTTCTGTAATCTTAATAATGAGATTTCATATGTCAGTATTTTGATTACAATAAACACTGAGATTGTCGTAGTCAGACCCTGTGAGTCAGAGCCAAATAAGGGTCTGATATAAATTACATTCACCATATTGAATTAGAGTTGAGAGGAATGACTTTGATATTTAGGAGAAATTTTTCTCTCAAAGAACTTTCTGGCTGTGATGCATAATTATCCTGCAGTTTGTATAAAATATTTTATTCCAATTCACTAGAATATGTAAGTGATAACATTTCTTAGCTTGTTTGTTTGTATATTTAAGATCGCTGTCTAAGATGGGAATCAGTTTCTTCCTGCTAACGAGTTTTCCTTTGGGAGTTTTAAATGCTGTAGACTGGAAAAGATATTTGGGGGAAAGTCTGAAGCTTTCTATGAGCAAGTTATTCAGTGTTTAGTGTTAAGTATTACAATTAATATTAAGATATTTTCTCATTCCAAGCAGCCTAATACATGCTTTATTTCTTTCCATAGTTTTTATGAATGCAGCCATCCCAATGGCAGCTGTTCTTGCAGTAAGAATTTTTCTTCTCTTTCTTTGAAAAGCAATGAAAAATACTGCTGTTGCTTCTATGGGACCTACCATTGACAAACACAGGATATGGTTTAGTAGGCTTATGCTAGCTGGATATAGCAACATTGCACTAAAAACACTCGATTCCCAAAGCTGAATTTGCAACAGCTGTGGTTTGGACTTGTGAAAAAGGAAGTAAACCATAAGCGCCATTAATGTAATCCCAAAAAGCAACAAGCAGAATGTTAATTCTTGGCTAAACAGAAAGGATATGGACTTGGTTTGGAAGTTACATTTTTGGGGCTTTGTTATTCTGTTGCATCAAATGAAAGCCACTCCTGTGCAAAGCCCCAGCACAAAGTCTTCACACAGATAAATCCCTCAAATATCTTAGACTGGAACTTAAGGGACATGTCTACATGTTCATTAATATACAGTGATTAGTGCACATTTAATTTAGTACTTGTATAATCAAGGACTAAATAAATGCTCAGTAACTGCAGTTACTGTGCAGTAGTGCTGTCAAACCCCTTTTTAGTGGCACTGCTGCTCAGTAGCTTTATAATTCTGTGCAGTAGCTTATTAGCACTGTTTGTGTTGTGCTGCGCTACTATGCCGTATTATTAGGCCACTGTGCAGCTAGTGTCTAGTGTAGATGCTTCCAAGTAGAACATAATTTTTAGACTGTCCTTTATACGTAGTTGAATGTTGTCACTATATACACCAAGATAATAGTTATACCTAGATAATAGTTATACCCCTTGTGTTGAGCAGTAAGAAATCTTCATGGACCTAATCCTGAAGGCCTCACTTGGTTTATTCTCAGTGGATGTGTCTACATGTGCAATTAGTGTGCTTGAAAATTCAGGCTCATTAAAGTGCTCCTGGGCATGCATGTGAATGTGCGCCCGACGGGAGCAGTTCAGTCCAGGGCTGCTCCTACCCTGCTCTGCCCCCCCTGCAGCAGCCAGGGGGAGCTCCCAGTTTGCTCCCAGTCAGGGTCTACATGTGCGCTTCGGTGCATTAATGTGCCATTTTTCTAGTATCTGTATGTAGGGGTACAAGCAAACGGCTCATTAGACTCATTTAATGTGCACATGTAGACAGTTACACTTTACTGTGCATTAGATTAGTCTTGTGTAGTTTGTAGTTTGGACTTGTGAAAGCCCTGAACTCACCCAGTCATTACTAGAACTGGGTGACATTTTTGTCCAAAATCTATTTTTGGTGAAAAATGCAGTTTCAGTTATGCCAAAACATTTCACCTTTTTTTTGTTGATTTTGCTGAATTTTTTATTTAAAAAAAATCCTGAGTTAAATGCCAAAATTTTGAAACATTTCTCACCACATTTGAAAATACAAAACATTTTAATTTTTCATTTGGAAATTACAATGTTTTAATTCACTGAAAAAGTCACACAGCATCAATTTCAGTTAAACCAGATAATTTTTTTTCTTAGCATTTTTGGAATTACCAGTGAACCAAAAATCTAGGATTTGCTGAGCTCCGTTCATTATTCCAGTCAAGTGCCCTTCCAAGTACTATATGTGCTGTGGTATCTTTTTCACTAATCTTCTCTTGTTCTGGTGTAACAGACCTTTGTCACCTATGCATATACCACTGACAAGAAACTGCAGCCAGCACAAGCCTTTGCATCCCTGTCATTGTTCCATATCCTGGTTACACCACTGTTCCTGCTCTCCACTGTAGTTAGGTTTGCAGTCAAGGCCATTATAAGGTAAGCAGAGCAACTTCTTTGGTTATCCAAATATGCTTCAGAAAACTCCATCAGGCTGCATGAAAGGAAATACGCAAACAGTGAAAAGGGGTTGTTTGTTCATTGGCCTGAAAAATCAAAATGATATAATGATTCAAAGAAATCAGATCAAACATTCTATTCTATTCCGTAAAGTGATCACAAAGAAATAGGATTTAAAGTCTGACTGTTACTACCATTATTATACCAAATCTTGAAGTCCAAACTGTAGTCAAAGTGTTTTTGCTTGGATTATGGCTCAGGTCTTCCCCCTCTAAGTAGCCTTGCAATAGCCATCCACTATTGTCCCCTGCTAGTGCCCCAATGGACGATAGAAATCCCAGAAGGGTGAGAAAAGATGAAAGGAAGATTTAGGCAGGATTGGCTTTTAACGCAGGCAAGAGAAACTGTCCCCACTCCTACAAAAGGTGCCCAGTGATACCATACTATAGTGCCATAGTATAAAGGTGCCAATATACTATGGAACTGGCACTCACCTGTTTGTTGTTTGTCCCTAAAAATGAGCCTCTTCAGGGAAAGAATTTCCATGAATGGAGAGCCAACATCTTACCTAGAAAAAGCTTCTCATTTTCAGGGATCCTGATTTTCTCTGCTAAAAAAAATCCCGTTTTTAGATTAAAAAAAGGAACCCAAAATCCACATTTTTCTGTGATTATATATATATATATATATATATATACACACACACACTATATATAAATATATAATAATAATATATATCTGTGTTTCATTTTAATCACAAAAAAATTCATCATTAAAAGTTTCACCTGGGATGATAAGGGGGTCACACTTGATGTACAGTGGTATTAGAAAAGATTCTGAGGCAGTGGATAACCAACAGGTTGCTAAGTGCAATCATGATTTTGTTACTGTTATAACTTCTGTTAAAATGTTCTGACCTTTAGGGGGTCCTGTTGCTCCTGAGGCTTTACTCTTGCATGACCCCATTGCCAACAGAATAAAAAGATGGAGTGGGTAGTCTGGCCTGTCAGACCACCAGTATATTAAGGAAAGATAGACAGCGAGTGGAACTGGTAGCAGCAGAGGAATCAGCAGCAGTGGGGAGAACTGATGGCAATAAAAATCATGGAGAATTGATGGCAATAAAAATTCATTATTTTATCAAAATTTGCTGTGATTCATGTCTGACTTTTCCCAAATTACAGTGCCTGAAGTACCAGTTTTCCTAGGAGAAGCAATTCTAGTGTCTCAGTTGGCAATGACCAGGGATCCTGATTTTCTCTGATAAAATAAACCAAAACCACAATTTTCAGATTTAAAGTAACCCAAAATTCACATTTTTCTGTGTTTAAAAGAAAATGCCACTAATATATGGATAGGTCTATCTCTCTATTTATAGTGGTGTTTCATTTTAATCATGGAAAAATGTGGACTTTGGGCTACTTTTTTAAATCCAAAAAATTGGGGATTTTTTTTTATAAGAGAAGACCAGTATCCCTGGTAATGACAGACATTTACTGTTGTACATTGACTCTTCAGTGGTCCCTATGAAGTGAGCTGTAGTCTTCAGGCAGCCGTGCCAACATCTTTTTCACAAAACTATAATCTCAAAGGCACAAGTCAACATTCTTCCTCGCAGTGATAGCAAAGATGCCACACACTGACTAGATATGAAGACTGAACTAACCTTCTCAACTTTAAAAAATAATCCCTCTACTTCAAGGCTGAGGCATACTAACAGGGTATGGCATTGGTGCTGCCTCTATCTGTTAAATAAGAGTAATGATAAATAATAAAGAATAGGGCATTAGACTCCAAAGCTGCCTGTCACTATTCACCAGCATCACATTCACTAAAAAAAAAATAGACAGGTTTTGGTTTTTTTTGTTGAAGTGGGAGCAAGGGCCCATCAGAGCTTTTCCTTAGGTTGAAAATTATTTCTGACTAGTGGGAAATCTCATGTCCCTTTATAAATCATTCCAGTCTCTACATCAAACTGCTATGTTTAGCACAGCCCTACTATCAAAATGGTATATGCTTTTAGCTTTTGACTGCTGGCCACCCTCAGGATATTATTCAGAAACCATATTTGCCAAAACAAACCTCACCCTTTGGAAAACTTATTTCCTATCATCTTTCTCCCATGAACCTCGAAACTCCCAAGTGCAGAGGCCTGAGGAATGTGTGCTTGGCCACTCGATGGCCTCTAACATCAATCAAATAAATTGATATGATTAAGTGCTTGCTCCTGGTTTGAGCAAGTGCTTTTATTTTGGCCAGACCCTTCATTTCACTTTAAGGAGTAGCATAGTTCTGATGGCAGAAGAGCTTTCAGACATGACATCCCTCACTCAGAGGGAAGGAAGTGGTTGACATCTGCTTTCTTGGGCAGAAGGTCAACATTGTTCCATATTCCTTTAATTCAGAATTATGTTTATTAGTATCTTCCTTCCTCATGCAGTTGGCTCAGCTCCCTGCTGGTGCCGATTGAAGAGGCTTCTGTAATACTGAATGGAGATATAAATTCTCAGTTCAGATATACTCAAATTTTAATTTGCACAGCCATGCTTTACTTTCCAATTTTCTGGATTTCCCCTTTCACTACAGCAGGTGCCTCTGGGATGGGAGGAGTATAGAGACACCTCTAAGGCCAATGAGTTACTATGTACTTTTATGAGCCAGGTCCAAAAAAGGAAGTTAGGAGTTGCCATACTCCAATTAAGAGTTTCATAGTTTCATAGTTTTAGGGTCGGAAGGGACCTAATAGATCTTCTAGCCCGACCCCCCGCCAGGGCGGGAGAACAACAACAACAAAAAACAAACCCTAAAAACAAAAACGGGACTCAAATGAGTCCAGCCAGGTAGGTATCCAGCCTCTTCTTAAAGATCCCCAGGGTAGGGGCCAGCACCACCTCCCTTGGAAGTTGGTTCCAGCTCCTAGCCGCCCTAACTGTGAAGTAGTTTTTTCGGATGTCCAATCTGTACCTCCTCTCCATCAACTTGTGCCCATTACTCCTTGTTATGCCAGCGGGGGCTAGGGGAAACAGCGTCTCCCCCAAACCCTTCTGGTTCCCCCTAGTGAGTTTATAGACGGTCACCAGGTCCCCCCTCAGCCTTCTCTTGTGGAGGCTGAATAGGTTCAAGTCCCGCAGTCTCTCACTGTAGGGTCTGCCCTGTTGTCCCCGGATCATGCGGGTGGCCCTCCTCTGGACCCTCTCCATGTTGTCCACATCCCTCCTGAAATGGGGCGCACAGAACTGGACACAATACTCCAGCTGCGGCCTGACCAGCGTCGCATAGAGGGGGAGGATCACCTCCCTGGCTCTACTCGAGATGCACCTGTGGATGCACGACAAGGTCCGGTTAGCCCTGCCAACCATGACCTCGCATTGTCGGCCCATGTTCATCTTGGAGTCAATAATGACACCAAGATCCCTTTCCGCCTCCGTGCTCTCAAGTAGGGAGCTCCCCATCTTATAAGTGTGCTGCTGGTTCCTACTACCCAAGTGCAGCACCCTGCACTTGTCCGTATTGAAACGCATCCTGTTCCTGTCTGCCCACCCCTGTAACCTATCCAGATCCTTCTGCAATCTCTCTCTCCCTGCTAGCGTGCTCACCTCCCCCCAAATTTTGGTGTCATCAGCGAATTTAAACAGGTTGCTTTCCACCCCAACATCAAGATCGCTGATGAAGAAATTGAACAGCGCAGGCCCCAGGACCGAGCCCTGGGGGACTCCACTACCCACCTCCCCCCAAGTCGAATATGATCCATCCACCACCACCCTCTGAGTGCGACCCTTCAGCCAATCTGCAATCCATCTGACCGTGTAGGCGTCTATGCCACAGTCGCCTAGTTTATTAATTAGGATGGGGTGAGAGACGGTGTCAAAGGCCTTGCTGAAGTCCAGAAAGACTACATCCACCGCGACACCTGCATCCATGGCCTTTGTGACCTGATCATAAAAGGCAATCAGGTTGGTCTGACATGATCTCCCCCTAATAAATCCATGCTGATTGCCCCTGAGCATCATTTCTGATGCCGGCCCATCACAAATGTGCTCCTTGATGATCTTCTCAAAGAGTTTCCCCAGGATTGAGGTAAGACTGACGGGCCTATAATTGCCCGGGTCCTCCCTTTTCCCTTTTTTGAAGATGGGGACCACATTAGCTACCTTCCAATCGTCTGGCACCTGGCCCAAGCACCACGATCGCTCGTAGAGCCGTGCCAGGGGCCCTGCAATAACCCCAGCCAGCTCCCTCAGCACCCTGGGGTGGAGAGCATCCGGACCCGCTGACTTGAACGCGTCCAGCCCCTCCAGAAGCTCTCTAACCCGGTCCTCCCCAACCTGAGGTCTGAAGGCGATCCCCTCGCGTCCGGCTTCTATCACAGCAGGGAAGTCCCGGTCCCTGCACAAGAAAACGGAGGTGAAGAATTGGTTAAAGAGGTCCGCTTTATCCTCTGACGCAACCACCAGATTGCCCAGCATATCCTGCAGGGGCCCCACATTACCCGGCGCCTTCTTCATCCTCCCAATATATTTGAAAAAGGACTTTTTGTTATCCTTAATCCTGGACGCTAATCCGAGCTCTATATCCGCCTTGACCTTCCTAACAGCCTGCCTGCAGGCCCGAGCAGAGGAGGTATACTCCTCTTTGGAGATTACACCCCCCTTCCACCGGGCGTACGCTGCTTTTTTGGCAAGCAGGCATTCCCGGACACCCTTGGTGAGCCAGGGGGGCTTTCGGACACTCCTGCCCCCCTTGCTTCTTGTCGGGATGGACACCCCTTGGGCCCTGAGTATTGTTGCCTTACCACACCTAACTTAGAGCTGCCTGACTGTCAGTGGAGGAGTGACCACTGGGGGGACGGCCAGAATAGCCCCACTTCTGAACTTCTGGATCTCAAGCATGCTTTCTGGGTCCAGAGGATGGGTTATAAGCAGAGCATGCTCTGTCCTGTCCTTACTGGAACCCGCTCCTTGCAGTAGTGTAGGCAAGTTCTGTGGTTACTGTATTAAAACTGCATTAATTACTTTTGCACTGTTAGTTTTCCATATAAACAATTGTTGTAGTTGCTACAGGGATAACTTGCTCCCCAAAAGGAAATGGAAGTGGCCTGTGCAATTATGAATGGGAATGTGGGGTCTGTGGGACAATGCCTCTCTTAGAAGGAGGGGTCAGTCTCAAGAGGTTTGAGTATTTTTGGTGTACTTTAGTCAAGGGATAGATCATTACATATTCATTCATGGAAATTTGGGCTTACCTACTCTCTGTTTTTCACCAAAGTGTTCAGAAGCTAAATGAATTTCTCTTAAGTGATGAGATTGGAGGTGACAGCTGGAGAGATGGGTGCAGCTCAGTAGCTTATGAGTCATGCAAGAAGCACACAGGATTTGTAAGTTCTGTTTTCTGATGATAAATTTAAAAAATGTGGAGACAGATTGGTATAAGGAGGGTGGAAAAAAGGGGCACAGAACGGACACTGAGGAGAGTGGGTTCTAGCAGTAGTGTAACTAAGGCAGAGCAAGGGGGAGCACCTGCCCTGGGTGCTGACCATGAGGGGGTACCAGGGGTTCCCTTACTGGAAGTGTTTGCCATGGCAGGGCCTGACCTTGCAGCAATCAAATAAAGGCACTCCAAAGCAGAGAGCCTTCATTAACTTCTGTCTGCATGTGCTGGGAGCAGGGCTCAGCTGACTCAGGCCAGCAGTGCTCCCCAGACTGTTTTCAGAATGCGGGGTGGGGGGAGTGGAGGGAGTTCATTTTGCTGTTTGCCTAGCCAGCACTGGAGGGTAGGGTGGGTGGATTGGAGGTGGGGAGCTCCAGTCTACCAGCCTCACCCCCATTCCAGCATGGTTGGGGAAACAGCAAAAGGACCTCCCCTCCCCTGCCTTCTCCCCCTTCCATTCTGAGCCAGAATGGGAGCTGCGAGAGCAGGGGAGGAGCTAGGGGAAGAGGATGCAGAGATGCAGCCTCTCTCCTTGGATCAGACCCAAATTGAAGCCTGATCGCCCATCCTCCCAACTCGAGCGAATGTCTGTTGGGTCAGTAAGATTTGTCTGTTAGGTCAGGAGGATCTGTGTAATTCATGGCGCTTTCTGTATAGATCCAGGAGGTGCACTTCTGTCTGCCTTACAAGAGACAAACAGGAGAGAAGTTTTATGAGCAAGTGTGGGGAGGTGGTACTTGATAGGAATGTGAGAGTAATCAGAGAGGTGACAAAATTGAAGAACAAAACTGGGAACAGGAAGAGGACAAGAACTAACACAACGTTTAATGAGGGAGGATACAAAAGAAGGGGCAGAAATATGTAGAACTCTGACATTTATTTTTTTTGCAAAAATCTAGTTGGCCTAATCAAATATATTACCTCTACCACGAGTTCTGAAAATGATAAGAAACTTAAAACTTATACAGAAACAGATATGAAGCCAATGGAGGGTTGTAAAAAGATAGCTATTGTTTTAGTGAATGAGGTCGTTCAGTAAATGCTGAAGGGAGATTCGCAGTACTGTGCCCCTATCATAACAAATGTTGAAATATCCCATTCCTATTCACATTTTCTTTTTTTGATCCAAATTAATCAGAGGAAGGGGGCAGGCTATTTTGTTTCAATGGAACTGTATGTTGTCATCTTATAAGAACTCCAATTTGTTTTTTCTTAATTTTGTGATATAGCACTCCAAGGCCATCAACAGGAAACAGCCATTGAGATATCAGCTGGAGAGTTATGAGCAGTCATCAAGGAGGCAGCCACGTCCCTTAGAGATAGATGATATTGCAATCAAGGTGGTTTGATTTCATGAATTAATTATTTACAAGGATTGGAGCCTCATGCTGTGAAGTAAACTGATCCCAAAGTGCTCCAATTCTTCAGTCCTTTTAAAGGCAAATCTTCTACTGAAAAATCAGCTACAAGACCATTGGATAACTGTGTACTTAAAATTACTTGGCATCAAATGTAGAATGAGAACTATTTACTGAAAATCAGTTCCCTGAAATGACCCATTTTTCCATCTCAGTGAACAAGTTACAATGGTGTTATGAAAGAATAAGAACCAGATGGTCAAGTATAGAATAATTCATATAAATTCCTTTTTCTTAGATCTCTCTTGTACTACCACTCTACATAAGTATAGAAAAACATTTTTTCTACCTATGTAGACCAGTTCTGCCTAGGTGAGCGCACATATCTTGCCTATCATCTGTAAGTACCAGAGACCACCATTTCTGGGGTTCAGTCTCTTCCTTGGATAGAATGACATAGGATTTTCCTCTGAAAGAGATGATCAAGCCAAGGAGTTTTTCCTTGTGTGTCCTTTTACAAATGGCATTTCATATTTTACAAAGCAAAAGTTTGAAAATGAAATATATATACCTTATACTATTATGTATATTTCACTGTATATAATATATTATATTATTTATAATATATAGCATATACTATATCTCATATATGTTATATATAGTATATTGTATGTCATATAATAATTCTATATATTATATAATATATAGGAAATATATTGTATATGTATTTCATTTATAATCTTTGTTCTGTTCCCCTTTTTAACTTGTTTTTACTTAGTGTGCCATACTTAACTATGTCTTATTGTTATAACAGATTCATTTTTAATACAAACCAGGTAACTAATTTATTTCTTCAAGTATTTGCATTTCTAATATATGAAATTATTTTGTAGGTCACCAATGGATACTTTTCTTGGGGGAGTGGTTTAGCTACATTATCCAATATAAACATCAGAATCCCAACAGGTAAGATCAATGTGTACTTTAAATGCTAAATGTACTAAGCTGCATTGTCATTTGCTGTAATTTCCATTTCTTGTGCATGTAGGTACAAGCACAAAAATAACTGAGATGGGATTTGTGTAAAGAAAAATAGAAAGACAGAGAATGTAAAAGTTCATAAACTATGTTTTGTGGAACTTCATCTTAATTCTAAAGAACTAAATATTAATAGAAAGATTTTACTATTTTAAAATTGCTATCAGTTTTACAACAATATTCCCCAACTGGCCCAAAGCATATGTCATTAAAACAGAAGACAGAACACAGAAAGGGTGAAGTTACATATTACTATATTGGTGTAATGGTAAACAGTGTTAAAATTTAGAACATACTTTGAGCAGTTGCATGTTAAGGGTTAATATTATTTTTTACCTGCACCGCTTTTACTTGCCTGGTGAGCAGGCGCATGGCCCAGAGCCATAACACCTGGCCTCTATTCCTGCTTTGGGTGAGGGGAAAGCTGGGAGTGGTGCATCCTGGAATGCTGGAGGACTGCAAAATGCTCATTTTACTTCCATGGAGCAGACTGAAGTTACCCTAGCATGAGCTAGGTAGCATGGCCCGGAGAACCCTTGCCTGAAGTGGTGTACCTTTGAGACACTCAAGGTGTGTCCACACATGCAGGCAGTAGCAGCTCAAATAGAAGCAGCGCAAATTTGAGCTGGGACTTTTTGTCTCAGAGCACATGCCCAGATATGCATTTTGGTGTGGGGCAAATTGTGCCACTTGGGGCAAAATAACCCTGCCAGGCTCCTCCTGGATCTGTAGCCAGGGAGAGCTAGAGATTCAACAGTATAAAAAGCTGCCCTGTGCTGGCCCCAGCAGTATAAAAACCTGCCCTAGTAAGTAGCTCAGGGCTAGGGAGCTTTGGGGCCTCAGCCAATTGGTATCTGGGGACACTACCCCTTGTGTCAGCTGGACTGCTGCAGCAGCATCCCAAATACATTTTTTTAAATACCCCAAAATCCATGTTCTTCCACAATTAGAACAAAAGACCACTACACATACATATATATATATATAGAGAGAGAGAGAGAGAGAGAAATCAGTTGGGCATTGCTTTATTGATATATTTACAGTGTTAAAGCAATTTGGAAGTCTACCAGTGTCTCTATTATCAAAATAAAATAAATTCTAAATATCTGTATTTTTTCGTGTGTGCTTTTGGTTTTCTTTTCACATGATGAGTGTGTAATGGGAGGATGTGGGGTTTGCAGGAGAGGGGTGGGAAGGGGTGTGGGGGAAGGCAGGTGGATGTGGAGGGATGTGGGGGAATGATTGCTGGGGGGACTGTGGGTGTGGGGGACCTTGTGGGGGGGCTGCTCAGGAGGGGTGGGTCCCCTGGCCCCCACAGGGTGCAGCCCCCACCCACAGCACATGGACTGCGCCCCCTGCAGGGCTACAGCCCCTCCACCCCCACCCCTGGCAGGATCCCAGGCACCGTGCAGGGCCACAGCCTCCCTGCACAGGGCCCACAGCTGTCCCCCTCCAACAATAGCAGGACAGGGGCGCTCAGAGCCTGCTGCTGCCAGCCCTCCCACGGTGCAGCTCCAAGCGACTCAGAGCCAGTGCTGCCTGTGCCACTGGTTGGGGACCGGCATCATTCACCGGCATCACCCGGGGACCGGCACCACTCATGTGGACCTCATCTCGCACTGGGTCCTGCTGCCATGGAACCAGCCTGGCCTGGCAGCGTGAGCCACCCTAGTACTGGCAGGACCTGGCTTTGCTCGGTGTGCTGTCCCTGCGTGCTGCGCCAGGTCCTGCGTCTGGTGGCAGTGCTGCTAACCCGCGGTGCCTGCAGGGCCTGACCTGGTACAGCTCACTAGCCCAGCTTTGCACGGGAGCAGGACACGTGGCTCCAGGAGGTGTGGCTCCTGTGCAAACGCACTCTAGCTGCACGGCCTGGCCCAGGCCAAAGCAGGTCGGATCAGGCTGGCAGGATGCGTTTTTCCACGAGGCTCAGGCACACCTGAGAGTCATGGAAAATGCATCCTGCTGACTGGTGCTGCAGGGGCCAGGTGGAGGGGCAGGT